ATGAACATATTAGGTTAAATGGGCTGTTTATGTGAAGCAAAAGTCTGGAAGGAATACTGTGTGTGCTGTAAACTAACAAGCTAAACAGTTTTAACTAAATGGATCATGGATATGTCCCCATTGCTGGTAGAACATCCATAAAAATATCAATAAAATTTATAAAAGACATTTTAAATCAATTAGCAGCATGTGCCAATGATTTCCAAATCTCATTCCCAGGATTTAAGCACATATCTGATACTAATTAAAAAGAACGCTGTACTATTGGAGACACCGTCTTTTAGATCATAGAATCACAGAATTGTCATGATATGGAAGGAGGTCATTTGGCCCAGTGTGTCTGCACCAGGTCATTAAACAAGCATCAGCCTGCCAATCTCTTGCTTTCTCTCCATACCGTTGCATGTTATTTTTATTCAAATAATCATCCAATGCCTCTTGAATCTTGCAATTGAACCTGCCTCCACCACATTTTTTTACCTAACTACTCACTGAGTGGATAAGTTTTTCTCTGCTTCACCCTTGCATCTTTTGCTGTTTACATTAAATCAATATGCTCTCGTTCTTGTTTCTTTTATGAGTGGGGAAAGACTTTCCCTATCTGCCTTTACCATCCTGATCATGACTTTGAAAACCTATGTCTTTTCTCCTCCCAGCCTTCCTATGCCCAAATAGAAAAGTCCCAATTTCATCAATCTATCTTCATAACTGAAGTTTGTAATTCCTGGATCCATTCTTGTAAAATTAGATGGGACATTAAGCTAGGATATGTTAAAGTGGATATCAAAAATCCTATAGCACCCACTGATTGGAAGTGAATTCTCTTAGCATTCCTTTCCAAAACAGCACCACCAAAACACAGTCACTTGTCAGTTGTCTGCAATGCTGCCTTGCACTTGTAAAAGCAATGTGGCAATTCAAAGTACTTGGAAATGTCCTGAGGATGTGATGCACAAAATTAATGCAAGTTTTTTTAGAGTAATGGAATCATTCAGAATGGAGGGATATGTCATTTGGCACATCATACCTGGACAGTATTGGTTAGAATGTTGTCAACTTAGTCCCAATTCTCTATTCTTTCCCCACAGTCTTATAATAAATGCTCACCCCCATCTAACACACGCCTCCTTCAAATACATATCTTCTTATGTGAAAATTACTGTTGAATCTCCTTCCACTCCCCTTTCAGGGAAAGCATTTAAGTTTACAAGCTGTGACAAACATTATAGTTTTGTACTGACTTTTGCAAAGTCACCAGAGACGCAAATAGACAATACCAGATGAAATTAGAGTCCCAGACTAACCATGTGAACACACGTCGACTGTGGCAAGGCTTACATGATATAATGGGCTACAAAGTGAAGTTGAGTAAAATTGCGGGCAACAATGCATCCCTCACAATGACCTCAATGCATTCTATGTTCATTTTGAACAGAAGGTCAGTGAAATGATACACCTGCCCAGACAGCCTGGGGTGCACCTGTACCCATAATCACTGCTGCAGACATCAGACTTCTTGGAGTGAACCCACGAAAAGTGACCTGCCCAGTTGGAGACCCTGGCTATCCACCCAGATCCTGCACAGACCAGCTGGCGGGAGCATTTTCAGACATCTTTAACCTTTCCTTACTCCAATGTCATATTCTCACCTACTTCAAGAAGACCACTATCATAATTTATCATGCCAAAGTAAAATCAGGCAGCATGCCTTAATGACTCCCACCCAGTGGCTCTCACACCCGTTATTATGAAGTATTTTGAGAGGTTAGTAATGGTACACATTAACTCCAGCTTCCCAGATTGCCTTGATCCACTATAATTCGCCTACCATCACAATAGGTCCACAGCAGACACCATGTCCTTGGCCCTATACTCACCTGGAATATCTGAATAACAAAGACACCTATCTCAGAGTCCTATTTATTTACTTTAGCTCTGCCTTTCATAGCATAATTCCAACCAAATATTTCTCCAAATTCCAAGGCCTAGGACTCTGCTCTCTCATTAAATCCCCCCATCCCCGCAACTGGAGTACAACGTGGGAAAGTGTGAGGTTGTGCACTTTGGTAAGAAGAATAAAAGCATGGACTATTTTCTAAATGGGGAGAAAATTCAGAAGTCTGAAGTGCAGAGAGACTTGGGGGTTCTCGTCCATGATTCTCTCAAGGTAAACTTGCCGGTTGAGTCAGTAGTCAGGAAGGCAAATGTAATGTTGGCATTTATTTTGAGAGGACTTGAATATAAAAGCAGGGATGAACTACTGAGGCTTTATAATGGTCTGGTCAGGCCACATTTGGAGTATTGCATGCAGTTTTGGGCCTCATTTCTCAGGAAGGATGTACTGGCCCTGGAGCGGGTTCAGAGGAGGTTCACGAGAATGGTCCCAGGAATGGAAAGCTTAACATATGAGGAACGTTTGAGGACTCTGGGACTGTACTCATTGGAGTTTAGAAGGATGAGGGGGGATCGAATTGAAACTTACAGAATACTGAATGGCCTGGACAGAGTGGATGTTGGGAAGATGCTTCCATTGGTGGGAGAGACCAGGACCCGAGGGCACAGCCTTAGAGTAAGGGGAAGACCTTTTAGAACGGAGATGAGGAGAAACGCCTTCAGCCAGAGAGTGATGAATCTGTGGAATTCACTGCCACAGAAGGCTGTGGAGGCCAGGTCATTGAGTACATTTAAGACGGAGATAGATAGGTTCTTGATTATCAAGGGGATCAAGGATTACGGGGTGAAAGTGGGAGAATGGGGTTGAGGAACTTATCAGCCATGATTGAATAGTGGAGCAAACTTGATGGGCCGAATGGCCTAATTTCTGCTCCTATGTCTTATGGTCTTATGGATCCTTGACTTCCTGACCTACAGACTGCAATCAGTAAAGATAGGCAACAACACCTCCTCTACAATAATCCTCAACATCGGTGTCTCTTGTTCAGCCCCTTACTATACTCCTTATACACTCATGACTGTGTGGCCAAATTCTGCTCTACCACCATTTACAAGTTTGCTGATGACACCATGGCGAGACAGAAGACAGGAAGGAGATAGAGAGCTTGGTGGCATGATGAAACAACAACAATCTCTCCCTCAATGTCAGTAAATGAAAGAGTTGGTCATCAATTTCAGGAAGCAAAGTAGAGACATGCTCCTATCTGTATCAATGGCATTGAGGTGGAGGTGGAGGTGGAGCTTTAAATTCCAAGGAGTAAATATCATGATTGATCAATCTGGTCCATCCACTTTGATGCTACAGTCAAGAAAGCACACCTACGTCTCTACTTCCTCAGTAGGCTAAGGAAATTCAGCATATCCACGATGACTCCTACCAATTTTTATAGATGCAACATAGAAAAGCATCCTATCCAGATGCATCACAGCTTGGCATGGCAACTGCTCTGCCCAAGCCAGCAAGAAATTACAGAGAGTTGTGAATGCATCCCAGTCCATCATGAAAAGTAGCCTGTGTAAAACCAAAATGTCGACTTTCCTGTTCTTCTGATGCTGCCTGACTCATTATGTTCCTCCAGCTCCACAGCGTGTCGACAAAAAACAGCCTTCCATCCATTGACTCTGTCTACATTTCCCGCTGCCTCAGTAAAGCAGACAACATAATCAAAGACCCCTCCCACCTGGTTATACTTTCTTCCACCCTCTTCCATCAGGCAGAAGATGCAACAGTTTGAAAACACGTACAAACAGATTTAAGAACAGCTTCTTCCCTGCTGTTATCAGACTTATGAACCTCTCATATATTTGGAGTTGACCTTTCTCTGCACCTTTACTGTAGCTGTAATGCTATGTTCTACATTCTGTTCTATTAAACCAAAAGAACTGCGGATGCTGTAAATCAGGAACAAAAACAAACTCTGGTGTCCAGAGTTCTGTGGAAGGGTCACCAGACCCAAAACGTTGACTCTGTTTTTTCCTTCACGGATGCTGCCAGACCTGCAGAGCTTTTCCAGCAACTTTGTTTTTGATTCTGTTCTATTACCCTGATGTACTTACGTAAGGGATGCTTTGTCTGGATAACACACACCAATACTTTTCACTGTATCTCAGTACATAACAATAATAAATCAAATCAAAGTTTGAAGGGAAAGCTGTAGTGACACAAATGCATTGCCCAACTAACACACACCTCCTTAAGTCTGTATCCTCTTCTGTGAAAATTATTATTGAATCTCCTCCAGTCCCCATTCAGACAAAGCCTTTCAGTTGGTAACAGATTGTAAATATTGCCCTTTTGTATTGAAAGTTGGGGGCAAAGATGTAGTGACACAAATGCATTGTTCATGGTATCATAACCAGATCTGCAACATCCATTGTGTTATATATCAAAATGAATGATAAACATAACAACGTTGCTTCAGAGTTTACGTGAGAGGAGTTTAGTGGAACTTCCACACATCACTGTGCGGCTGATTTGCAGACGTTTACGCAACTTTTAACGAACTGTTGACTGCTCAAATGCTGAGGAGTTTGTGTTGTGCCTCAATCTGGTCTGCCTGGCGTTCCCTGTGTCACATGGGAGTTGTTAATATCTCTGCTGTGACCCCCGATGAGTGAAGTGCCAGGAAGAAGGTGAAGAAGTAAGCGATATTTACTTATTTAGTATTTAACTCACTGCCACTTCTCTTCCAGGCATGCCCACCTTGAAGAAGTTCTGCTCCTCTCTCCAACGGGATTTCCGTTCCAACCTCTATTCTTGCACTAACAGTCCCCATTAACAACTATTCACCCTCCCAGCCTGATCATTATCAACTCCTTTGTCTATTCAACTATCTTTCTCTCTCTTTGGGCTCCATCCTATCGTTTACTCCCTACCACACCCCCCTCCCTATTTTCTGCATATAAACTGACGTTTTCCCAGCTACCGTCAGTTCTAAGGAAGGGTCACCGGAGCCAAAACGTTAACTCTGTTTTCTCCTCCACAGATGCTGCCAGACCTGCTGAGCTTTTCCAGCAACTTCTGTTAGTGTTCAAGGGGTAGAGCGATGACCCGTTCAGCAGCATTACCCAGGGATACTGGCTGCCTGCCGCCTGAAGCGGAGAATAGGACCACTAGCCCAGCAGAGGTGACCCTCAGTGGTCCCCCAGAGCCCCCCAGGAGGTCCCCGCTCAGGCTGCTCATGCACAGTGGCCTGATGTTTGGCAGGGAGTTCTGCTACGCTGCAGAAGCAGCTTTCGCCACCCCGGTGCTGCTCAGTGTCGGGCTCCCGCCGAGCCTGTACAGCCTGGTGTGGCTCATCAGCCCCTGCCTGGGCTTCATCCTTCAACCCATCGTCGGCTCCGCCAGCGACTACTGCCGCTCGAAGTTGGGCAGGAGGAGACCTTACATCTTGGCGCTGGGGATCCTGATGGTGCTCGGAATGACTTTGTTTCTGAACGGAGACGCGTTGGTAACAGGCAAGTATCTAACTGCACTTATCCTAGAAAGTGCTCTAGAATGTGTTGGGGAGTTAAGCAACTGCAGCCTGGTCTCAAACAGAACTTTCTAATCATGCATTTTTCGCATCATTACTCTTAGATGCTCACAGTTCACACACCTCAATAGTGTAAACCTCTGAACGGTGATTCTTGAACTCACAAAATAGCTACATCTGACTCGTCTGAATACTTAGTAGCTTAAACGCTCCGAAAGTAATTGTAACAATTTGTAACTATTGTAGTTATACTCTCTTCAAGGGATCAGCCGGAGGGAAAATGCACACTGCGAATTTACACAAATAACTTTCAACTCAAATCTTTCGAGAAACCTTCGGAATGAATGATCTAATTGAAATAAAAATGTTTTAGCCACCATAAAAAACAGGAAACAAAGGCATATTTGGGGCGTCCTGATTACTGTTTTCGGCGTGATCGTCTTTGACTTCTCGGCTGACTTCATCGACAGTCCTATCAAAGCATATTTGTTTGATGTGTGCTCCCATGAGGATAAAGAGAAAGCCTTACACTTCCACGCACTGTTAACTGGTGAGTGCTTCCCTCTCAATCCTGGCAGCTGGCAACGTGCAATTATCACGAGTCTCTTTTTGGCGTCAGCAGAACTCGTGAGGTATTAGCCAGAGACATAAAACAGTTAACTTTCACGTATAAAAGAATTCGTCGATTTATTATTGTTGAAATAATTTGCGAAATATTGACTGAATTTAGTCTACACTGAGCGTAGGTTTTTCAACAATTTAAAGTGTATAGAATAATTGGGGAAATATTTAATCTTTTTTCAATATCTTATGCTTTCATCTTTCCCCGTCTGTTCATCTTTTGTCGTTAGTTCTTTTTCTTCTGTTCTTCTCCTACCTGACCACTTTTTTCTTTATTTTTAGGTAGAACATAGTGTTTGATATGGGAAACTATGGTAGATTGCAGGGAAAATGTGATACTCATTGATTCCCATTGCATTCCCTCCTCAGCCAGTTGTTTCCCCGCAAGTCCTTGCCTAAGCTTCGATTTCACTCCTGTTTCTTCGAACTGACCCCCGATCCCTGTTGTTGTCCCTACCTTTCCCCGATGGAATAATTCATTTTAACCTTGCATCATCTTTACCATCTCTGCTGTGTAGTTGCTCACTTCATTCTTAATCCATCATTCACTGTCCCATCCCCGTTCAGCCTCATCAAGGTAGGGTAATAGAGGGTACTTCAGTTCCCCCCACCCACCCACCTTGTACTTTTCCCTTCCTGTCTGTTTCTTTTATATTTTCATACTTTCAAAATATGATTTTTAAAAAGACACATCAAACTAGAATTAGGAAAAGGAAAAGCCTTTCTCTCTCTGGTTGTCCCTGTCACTCCCATTCTTCCTCCTTTCGTTTCAACAAAGAACAAAGAAAATTACAGCACAGGAACAGGCCCTTCGGCCCTCCAAGCCTGCGTCAATCCAGATCCTCTATCTAAACCTGTCGCCTATTTTCCAAGGATCTGTATCCCTCTGCTCCCTGCCCATTCATGTATCTGTCTAGGTACATCTTAAATGACGCTATCGTGCCCGCCTCTACCACCTCTGCTGGCAACGCGTTCCAGGCACCCACCACCCTCTGCATAAAGAAATTTCCACGCATATCTCCCTTCAACTTTTCCCCTCTCACCTTGAAATCGTGAACTCTAGTAACTGAGTCCCCCACTCTGGGAAAAAGCTTTTTGCTATCCACCCTGTCTATACCTCTCATGATTTTGTAGACCTCAATCAGGTCCCCCCTCAACCTCCGTCTTTCTAATGTAAATAATCCTAATCTACTCAACCTCTCTTCATAGCTAGTGCCCTCTATACTGGGCAACATCCTGGCAAACCTCCTCTGCACCCTCTCCAAAGCATCCACATCCTTTTGGTAATGTGGCGACCAGAACTGTACGCAGCATTACAAATGTGGTCGAACCAAAGTCCTATACAACTGTAACATGCCCTGCCAACTCTTGTACTCAAGATGAATGAAAGCATGCCGTATGCCTTCTTGACCACTCTATCAACCTGCGTTGCCACCTTCAGGGTACAATGGACCTGAACACCCAGATCTCTCTGTGCATCAGTTTATTCATTTGGCAACACTGACTGGGTCAGCATTTATTACCCATGCTGAATTGTCCTTGAGAAAGTGATGGTGAACTGTCTTGTTCAACCACTGTGTGTCCTGATAACACTCCCTGTGTCCAAACATTTTAGTATTATCTTCACGACTGTTGTTAGGCCAACTGGTTTGTACTTCCTTCTTTTCTCTTTCTCTCTTTTAAATTACGTTTGCTACCTTACAATCTGAGGGAAACATGCCAGAGTCAGTAGAATTTTGAAAGATCACCACCAATGTATCTGATACACTGACAGCTGCACACTTAGAATTGTGGGCTGTAGATCATCAGGTCCACAAGATTTCTCTAGCACAGAGAAAGTAAGAGTTCTCAGGCACAGGAGAGAAGCTGATTTGTGAGTAAAGGAAAAGAAAAGTCTACTTTCTACTAATCTTCAGTTTATAGTTAATCGCACAAAAATAAGGTTAAAGTAAATAAAGGTAAACTAACTTAAAAGTTAGCTTAAACATAAGACCGAGCAGCTCAGCTAAGTAGAATGGCCATCCTGTGGTATTTGGGGAGTGATGGGTATTTCATTTGACCTAGAGAGCCCATGTTTAGGAAGTGTCACTGGCTGCTCAAGGTTGACCAATGGGCGTCCGGGTTCAAGTGGCTGGTGGAGTCACTGAGGTACATCGCGAGGCAGAGAACTTTTTCTTTCTTATGTCATTCGTGGGATGAGGGCGTCTCTGGCTAGGCAGTATTTATTGCCCAGAGGGCAGTTCAGAGCCAATAACATCGATGTAGGTGCATGAAGGATGTTCCCAATGGTAGGTGTGTCCAGAACTAGGGGTCACTGTCTGAGGATTCAGTGTAGACTATTTAGGACGGAGATGAGGAGACATTTCTTCACTCGGAGTGGTGAGCCTGTGGAATTCATTATCGCAGGAAGTATTTGATGCAAAACATTGAATGTGTTCATGAGGCAGCTAGATATAGCACTTTGGGTGAATGGGAATAAAGGTTATGGGGAGTAAGCAAGATTAGGCTATTGAGTTCAATGAAAGGGGTGGGCAAAGGCCTAGTGGTATTATCGCTGGACTGTTAATCCAGAGAACTAAATAACATTCTGGGGACCCGAGTTCGAATTCCACCATGGCAGATGGTGGAATTTGAAATCAAAAAAAAATTGGGAATTAAAAGTCTAATGAAGACCATGAACCCATTGTCGATTGTTGGAAAAACCCATCTGGTTTACCAATGTCCTTTAGGGAAGGAAACTGCCATCCTTGCCTGGTCTGGCCTACATGTGACTCCAGACCCACAGCAATGTGGTTGACTCTGAACTGCCCTCTGGACAATTAGGGATGGGCAGTAAACGCTGCCTAGCCAGTGATGTCTTCATCCCATTAATGAATAAAAGGATCAGCCATGATCGTGATGAATAGTGGAGCAGACTCATCAGGACTAATTGGCCTCCTCCTGCTCTTATCTTCTATGATTCTAAGTTTCTATGTCCCTCATGGCAGACTGGTACAAAAGGTGAAGTCACATGGTATCAGGTGAACTGGCAAGATGGATACAAAACTGGCTTAGTCGTACACGACAGAGGGTAGCAATGTAAAGATGCTTTTTGGAATGGAGGGTTGTGACAAGTGGTGTTGCCACAGGGATCAGTGCTGAAGCCTCTGCTGTTCATGGTCTTCTTAAATGACTTGGAGGATAAGGTGGCTGATCTAATTAGTAAGTTTGCAGATGATACAAAGATTGGTGGAGTTGAGGATAGTGAGGAGGTTTGTCAGAGGATACAGCAGGATATAGATCAATTGGAGGCATGGACAGAAAAATGGCAGAAGGAGTTTAATCTGGATAAATGTAAAGGTGATGTATTTTGGAAGGTCAAGAAAAAATGGAAATTATACAGTGAATGGCAGAACCCTTAGGAGTATTGATATGCAGAGGGATCCAGGTGTGCAGGTCCACAGATCACTGAAGGTTGCAGTGCAAGTAGATAAGGTAGTAAAAAAGGCCTATGGTACACTTGCCTTCATTGGAAGGGACATTGAGTATAAGGTTCAGCAAGTTATGCTGCAGCTTTAGAGAACTTTAGTTAGATCACACTTGGAATATTGCATATAGTTCTGATCACCATACTATCAGAAGGATGTAGATGCTTTAGATAGGGTAGAGAAAATGTTTACCAGGATATTGCCTGGTATGGGGTTTTTTAAGTATGAAGAAAGGTTGGATAGACTGGGTTTGTTTTCACTGAAGTGCAGGAAGTTGAGGGCGACCTAATAGAAGTTTACAAGATTGTGAATGGCAAGGATAGAGTGGAAAGTATGAGGCTTTTCCCAGGGTGGAGGGGTCAATTACTAGGGGGCACAGGTTCAAGGTGTTAGGGGGTAGATGTTTAAAAGAGATGTGCAAGGCATGTTTTTCTCAAAGGGTGGTGAGTGCCTAGAACATGCTGCCAGAGGAGGTGGTGGAAGCAGACACAATAGCAACATTCAAGAAGCACCTGGATGAATACATGAATAGGAAAGGAATAAAGGATACAGATCCTGTAAGTGTTAGTATGGAAGAGCAGGATGCATCAGCACAAGCTTGGAGGGCCGAATGGCCTGTTCCTGTGTTTTATTGTTCTTTGTTCTTTCTGACATTGACAATATTTTTTTTGTGCAAAAAAACGAATTATTTTTACTTTGTGATGAGCATGAAAAAGAACATTTTGGCCATGGTTGACAACAACATGTTATAATTGGAATGGAAAAAATGCACAAGTAATCAAGTCCCACAGCTCCACATGTCACATCATCAGTCTCATTGAGAACAGAAGGCCATTCAGCTCCTTGAGTCTGGTCCACCATTCAATCAGATCATTGTTTCAATGTAGTCACCTCCTGCTCTTCTAAACTCCAGCACATACCAGCTTAATCTGCCCAGACAGCTGACCATTCCAAGGATTAATTGAATGATCCTACTTTGAGTTGCTTCCAATGCATTTACACCTTTCCTTAAATAAGGTACCCAGTACTGTGCACAGTACTCCAAATGCACTCTCACCTGTGCCCTATTAAACTGAAGCATAACTTGCCTACTTTTGGATTCAATTCCCCTTGTGATAATTTATAACATTTTATAATTTTTTTTAATTACTTCTTATGGCTGCATATTAACCATTTGTGATTCATGCATGAGGACACCCAGATACCTTTTCCTCTCAGAGTCATGCAACCTCTCAACCTTTGTATATGTCTTTCATTTTTCCTTCTGAAATGGGCGTCTTCACATTTTCCCACACTATACTACATTGTCCACTCACTTAACGCATTAATACCTTTGTAGTAACCACGCGTCTTCACAATTTATTTCCCTACCTATGGTTATGTCATCAGCAAATTTGGCAAACATGGTTGTCGATCCCTTCAGCAAAATCATTTATATAAATGGAAAATCTGAGGTTCCAGCTCTGAGATCTGTGGCACATCACTTATTACATCTTGCCAAACCTGAAAAAGACCATTCAGACCAATTTTCTGCTTTTTGTAATCCAGCCAACATTCCATCCATGCCAACATGTTCTCCTCCCTCATGCCATTATATATTAGAATAATATTGATTTACACAAAGTTTCATCAGGTTTCTTTGAATGAACTCAAAATTAATTTGTTTATTATAAAACAAAAGTCATTTCTAAGAACAAGAGGCAAAACTGAAATTTTGGTTAGTCAAAATGCTAACCAGTGGCAGATTTTCCAAGCAAACTTCACCTTGGATGGAAATAAAGATAGTTTCATGTCTTTAGAAAGTTGTGACATTTTCTCAAGATTGTCAAGGTAGTCAAATAGTGAGATTAGGAAACTTCATCAGTTTCCCAATTACTTCATCGAAGCGCAGGTGAGAAACTTAACAACATTACTGCAAGCTTTGGAGGTTTTTTCTTTCTGACTCTGAAGATTTTTAAATGAAAACCATGGCCAGAAAGACTTGTTAACAGCTGTTAGCACTCAGGTTCCATAGACTCTTTCAAAACCACATTTTTCAGCAATTAAGGGCAATAAAACCAAAATCTTATCTCCCTGAAAGTGTTAATTGCTTCAGAATTGTTAATTCAGGTTTCGTTGACTGTCAGATTTAGAAATTTCCCCAAGACAGTTGCTAATGTATTACCAGCATCCATTGTTTCAAAAAGTAGAGAAAAGAAATGATTGTTTTCTAGTGTCCAATCTAACCTGTTTGAAAGGGATGTTGGTGGTAGTGCAATAGGGATAAACAGTAATAAGCTGCTTTAAGACAAATTGCTCAAATGTTAATCAATATGCTTTCCCTTTATGTAGGCCTTGGAGGTGCTGCAGGCTACCTAATTGGTGCTATTGAATGGAGAAACACTTCCCTGGGTTGGATACTAGGATCTGAATATCAAGTTATTTACGTTTTTGCTGCAATTATTTTCATTGTACTTCTAATAATACACATGTGCAGTATTCCAGAAATTCCATTTGGTCAAGATGTAGATCATCAACAGTTATACTTATTGGAACATAATACTCCTACCTATGGAACAATCGAGAGTCCTGCAAATGGTAACTATGATCAAAATTCTTGTAAATCAAGATCTTCATCAGTGATGGTAAAATTGGAAGATAATTCGCAAATCACCTGCATTAACCCATCAAGAGAAAAGGTAATTTTCTTTAATGAGCTTTATTTTAAATTAGGCGTTGCTATGAGGAAGCTGTTTTTTTTTAAACTTAGTTTATCAAAGGATGACTGTCTTCTAAACAATTTATTTTCATATTACCTTGTTTGCCATGGTGGAAACAATTTACCCGTGAGCAGACAAGGCAGAACTGTCATTTTTAATATGAAATATATCTTAAATTTTTATGTATTTGGTAGTTAACAATAATGCAAATAATTCCTTTGAAACATCATAGAAAATGTCAAAGCAAACTGATCCTTTTACTGCAATGAAATGTTTACTTGGCATATTGTAATCATATTCAGACACAATCTCATTGAGACTATAAACTCAAAAAATGCCTGTGTGCACCATAGAACCGGTAAGTACAGATGAAGATAAGGAAAGATTCTTTAGCTGTTTACAACGAGTATATCTTCTGGCTGCACATAATAGGAGCATTAATTGAATCTCCTTTGTTGTGTCGTCAACTTTTCTAAGTATCTCTGAAAGTGATCACCAACAACATTTGGTTAATGGCTAAAGTGAATTTAGCGACACTAATATATTTTTATATTTGATTTCAGGGGCAAAAACATATAACCCTAAAGTCACTAGTTAAAGAACTGCTCGGTATGCCTTCTCATTACCGTTCCTTGTGTGTTAGTCACCTCATAGGATGGACAGCGTTTCTCTCAACTATGCTATTCTTCACTGACTTCGCAGGGCAAGTAAGAACAAATAACAGCATTGGTTAATCTTTATTTTGAATTTACTTAGAACTTTTTTGACACCTATTATGTATGGCATTTGTTAACAAGAAACCAAATCGGGACCAATTTGTGCATTTCATTCTCATGGATGCCTATATGATATAGGTCTACAGTGGTCTTTCTAGCCACTTCTTCTGCGTAAATAATTTTATTTGGTGCCTTATCACATCTTCAGAATGCCTGAAGCACTCTACATCCGTTGAATTAAGAGCAGCATTATCTATGCTTGACGCAGACTCACAGTTTCTTTTTTTTTCCCTCTTATTCCTTTGTGGGGTGTAAGCATGGATGGTAAGATGTACATATATTGCCATCACTCATTCCCCTTAAGAAGGAGGTGGTCAGACACCTTCTTAGTTCATAATCACACCATAGGAAACAGGAACAGGAGTAGGCCATTCAACCTACCCTGTCATTCAATAGGATCAGGTGCTAAAAAAGAAGGCTGATTATCACTTTAAATTTATGATCAGATAACCTAACCTGTTTATGATGGTATGGGTTGAAGGTGGACTGTTGACCAGGACTGAGCAACTCATTGCTGGTCTTCGAATGAGCTCAAGTTGAGTAGGCAGATATGATCATATGACTACCTCATCTGAAATATTGTGTTTGTAACAACACAGTGCTCTGAGTTCTTTGTGATCAAGCTGTGCAAATTACATGCTAATGAGATTTAAGACAGCATTTTCCACTCAGCTAAGTTGACAAGATTGGTGAAGATTACCTGTGTGTAGCCACGTGATGACCTAGAACATAAAAAAGGGTTCGGGGTCTTGCTACCAATAACAATTAGAGGAAACATTCCCTGACCTTGATCAAATATTTATCATTTAAAAAGACAAAAGGTTAATAATATTTTTTTTCCATTTATTGTGCTGTGACCTGTTATGGAGGTTGGATCACTGAAAATATTTAAAGAGGAGGTAGAGAGGGTTTTTAAATATCAGCAATTTGATAGCAAGGGGAGCTGGTGCACAAATTGAGACTAGGGCAAATCATCCATGATCTTATAGGGCAGGCTTGATAATCCAAATGACTACTACTTCTAATTCTTATGCCCTTATGAACTTTTAAAATACATTTGATAAAGTATCCCAGATAGTGATTGGTAAATATTGAAGCCCACAAGTTTGAACGCTAAGTGGTAACATAGAGACAAACTTGGCAAAGAGATTGAAAGCAGAGCCTGGTGGTAAGTGTCAGTAGGGAAAGAGTTAAGCAGCTGAATGGGGTTAATTGATTAAATGACTGTATAAGTCTAAAGGGAAAACAGTCTCCCTCACGTTTGTTATTCATACTTGATGGGTTCTGCACATAAATTAAACAATGGAAACACAGGTGATTTGACATAACACAGTGTGGAGCTGGAGGAACACAGCAGGCCAGGCAGCATCAGAGGAGCAGGAAAGCTGTCGTTTCGGGTCGGGACCCTTCTTCAGATTTGACAGTGTTAGTTAATAGGTGAAAATTGCAATGGGGTGATTTGGTGATGGGAAAAGCCATTCAGTTGTGTTATTGCACTTCTGGATATGAAGAAAAAGAGAAAAAGTGGGCTCCTGTAGTGCAGGGATAGTGTCCCTGCTTCTGAGGCCTGGGTCCAAATCCCGCCTGCACAAAAGGTGGGAAATAACGTCACTTAACAGGCCAATTTGAAAATATCTAAAGGTAAAGCAGCATGTCATGTAGTGATAGTGTCTCTATCTCTTGGTCAGCAGGTTCAGGTTTGATGTGTGAAACCAGGTTGAGTTGGATGTGGGGGCGAATGGTATGAGTTGTTTGGCTGTCCTGACAATAAGGACTAGCACAAGGTAAAGGTGGTCTTGAGTTCTGATTTACTTGAGTTCCTAGATATTTTCCTATCGTTCTGCTCAGTGATGTTATCACACAACTTTGGAGCAGGTGGGACTTAAAACTGGGCCTCGTGGCCTGAAGTAGCCACTGTGCCGCAAGGTCCGCCACGCTGAAATCCTACTTATTGGTGAATGGTAGTTTTCAGACTGCTCAGAAGTCTATAAAATGGGTACATTTTGATAGTAGTTTGTTGCTGATACTCTCGGAGATGCTGTGGCACTGTGGTAGTGTCCTTGCTTCTGAGCTAGAAGGCCTGGGTCAAATCCCAACTGCTTCAGAGGTGTGGCATAACATATCTGTGTGAATAGGTTTCTTTTAAAATCAACAAAATGGTGTGCGACTTGCAGAGGACAATATTAAAACTACTAAAAGTTGTACTTCAGTAATCCAACACCCTCCGGACTGGAACTGGAAAATTTGCCAACTACAGGAGGTCACTTGTCAAAGTCAGCATGGGAGTTTTTAAACATGTTTCTAAAGTACTGAGCAATATAAAATGAGATGAGAAGATGAAAATGTACAATTTAATTCCAGCATCTCTTTCAGTCTTCGTGTTAGAGTCAAGGAGAGAGATGTACAGCATGGAAACAGACCCTTCAGTCCAACTGTCAAGCAGATATCCTAAATTAATCTAGTCCCATTTGCCAGCATTTGGTCCATGTCCCATTAAACCCTTCCTACCATCCAGACGCCTTTTAAATGTTGTAATTGTACCAGCCTCCTCCACTTCCTCTGGCAGTTCATTTCCATACACGCACTACCCTCTGCATGGAAATCTTGTCCCTGAGGTCCCTTTTAAATCTTTCCCCTCTCACCTTAAACCATGCCCTCTAGTTTTGGACCTTTGCTCATGATTCTTTTACATTGTGCAAACTGGGTATGTGCACGCCATGGCCTAACAGTAACTTCACTTGGACCATCAGCTATCTGTAGAAGATGGAGATCACTTAAAAACTGACTCAGTCAAATAAACTTAGCTGGCCCAGTCAGAAAAAACATTTGGGACAATGGGTACAGTACACTCTGGGTTTTTTGGAATGTTTAACGTACTGTGGGTGCCAAAGCACAGAGGCAGACAAACCTGACCGTGCAGCATTAGTGAGTAATACAATGCTACTTAAAAGGTATGTTCTGAACTCAGGTATATATTTTCAAAGCTTTCTGGAGACATGAAATTCTGAAACATGGTGAACAGCAAGGATTGTAGCAGTTAACTTCAGAAGGATGTAGATGGCTAAATAGGCAGGCACACAGCAGATGAGTTTAATTAAATGATATCTTTTTAATTGAAAATTGAGGATGGTTAGTACAAACTAAATGGCACAATTTTACTTAGGATTCAGGAACAGAAAAATTTATTGGCTTATTGATGAATGTCTGTGAATGTGGACAAGTTGATTTAGCTACTTAAAAAGATAATTGGTTTTATAAAAAGAGGCATATGCCCTAAAATTCAGATGGTTGTTAGGCCCTAAACAGTCCAAAATGGTGTTTACGTTGTATCCATAAGATATAGGAACAGAATTAGGCCATTTGGCCCATCAGGTCTGCTCTCCCATTCAATCATGACTAAAATGTTTTTCACAACTCCATTCCCCTGCCTTCTCCCTATAACCTTTCATCTCTTTACTAATCAAGACCTAACTATCTCTGTCTAAAAGACACTTAATGACTCAGCCTGCACAGCCTTCTGGCTCAATGAGTTCCACGATTCACCGCCCTCTGGCTGAAGAAATTCCTCCTCATCTCAGTTCTAAAGGGTTAACCCGTCACGCTGATGCTGTGCCCTTGGGTCCTAGCTTCTCCTACTCATGCTGTACCTTCACTCTCAGGCTGTTTCTGTCCCAGGTTTGATGCTGATGTGTTCACTACTTCAGCATGTTCCTCACCCTTCCTGCATATTCACTTCACATGGGCAATTTTTCTCTGGCTGTTCACTCCCATTAGTGAATTTTCATGGGTGATTTTTGGGATGCTTGGGGCAATTTCTTTCACCACTTTCATGTATTTCCAGTGTTCATAGTCATAAAATGATTTCACTGAAAACTTAAAACATGGGATCTCGAAATAAAGAGCGCACCATTTAGGATTGAGATGAGGAGAAATTTCTTTATTTAATCTTTATGAATTTTTGTAATTCGCTGCCTCTATAAAATAGGTATCCAGTGATAGTAGTTGATCGCTCATATACTCAGGAGCCTTGTGGTGCTGTGGTAGTTTCCTTGCTTCTGAGCTAGAAGGCTTGGGTCAAATCCCACCCGCTTCGGAGTGTTCCCACCTGCAACATGCTATTCATTGGGACATTCATTCATTGATTGTACTCAAGAAAGAAGTTAATAGCTTTTTGTGCTGATTTAGAAGATCCACCAAGATCTTGTTGAATGGCAGAGTGGGCCAAAGGGTCTATTCCAGCCAGGTCATATTCTTTATGTTCTTATTTTCATTAATCCTAGCTGGATACGATAATCATGACTTTTGAGTTTAGAAAAGTAGCTCCCTCAATTTTTCTTTCCATTTTGCTCAAGAAGAGGACTTTTTAATGTAACAGTATATTATATTCATAATTTTATTATAATAATTTGACTTGATTTCTTTATTTAAATCTCTCAGGTAATGTATAAAGGAAATCCATATGCAGAACACAACTCCACCTCATACATTACTTACGAGCGAGGTGTTGAAATAGGAAGTTGGGGCTTGTGCATTAATGCTATTTTTTCAGCAATTTACTCATGTAAGTGCTTCACTGTTTTCTGCACGCTAAGTGTCTCTTTGCTTTTATAATATTGAGAGTGTTGTCAATATTGACAATATTTGGAGTTTAATTTGGATAAATACGAGGTATTGTTTTTTGGTAAAGCAAACAAGGGCAGGACTTACACAGTTAATGGTGGGGCCCTGGGGAGTGTTGTTGAACAGAGACCTAGGGGTTCAGGTACATAATTCTTTGAAAATTGTGTCATAGGTCAACAGGGCAGTTAAGAAGACGTTTGGCATGCTTGCTTTCGTTGCTCAGAACATTGAGTATAGGAGTTGGATGTCATATTGTGGTTGTACAGGATGTTGGTGAGGCCATATTTGAAGTACTGTGTACAGTTCTGATTGCCCTGCCATATGAAGGACATTATTAGAAAAGATATATCAGAAAAGATTTACCAGGATGTTGCTGGGATTGGAGAGTTTGAGAGGCTGGATAGGCTGGGACTTTTTCACTGGAGCGTAAGAAGTTGAGGGGTGACATTTATAGAGGTTTATAAAATTGAGGGGCATTGTGAAGGTCAATAGCAAAGATTTCTTCCCAAAGGTGGGAGAGTTCAAAACTAGGGGGCATGTTTTTAAAGTGAGGGGAGAAAGATTTAAAAGGGAACTGAGGGGCAACTTTTTCACAGAGGGTGGTTCATATGCGGAATGAACTGCCAAAGGAAGTAGTAGATGTAAGTACAGTTACAACATTTAAAAGACATTTAGACAGGTACATGAATAGTAAAAGTTTAGAGGGAAATGGGCCAAACATAATCAAGTGGGACTAGTTTAGTTTGGGAAACTTGGTCAGTAAGGACAAGTTGGATCGAAGGGTCTGTTTCTGTGCTGTGACTCTATGACTCTAAGACAATAGACTGTTGAGAATAATCCTCCTGCTTAAGGCAAGCTCGTTTTTTTAGGATGATGATCTGTAGATTAGGAGTAATAGCACATAATTCACAATCTGTCTTGAAAAATATGATCAATGGTATTGTAAATAGGCATTTGGTACTTGGGTATTGTTGAAAAATGACTATTGCTGTTTTGGCTCAAGATGTTTTCACACTGGTTTATCTACCTTAATTTTGATTTAAAATGGTAAGATACTTTCTTGGTCGTTTGAATAAATTACAGCCCAAGTATCTGCCAATACTTTTGAATGTTATGTCACAAGCTAATATAAATTAAAATAACTCTAATGGAAATTTATTTTAAGTCTGATGTAATTATTTCATTTGGTAGAATTTGCAGGTATAATATCTGACCAAATTGCATCATTCATATTGCATTTCCTCTTTTGTGCTTGGGACACTATTTATTCCATTATTAGTAGGAATGGAGGAAGCAGTACGAGGACTCCAGGACACAAAATACATTATTGTGTTATTTTATTCAGGTTTCCATGACGTCTTCTGTAAACAGGCATAACCACATATTTCTTTAGTACTTGGTAAATGGGAGATATCTCAGGGAAAGTTCTGGGTGGGAGGAAGATATCTCAAAAAAGCATTGTCAAAATGGAAAATTTTGAAAGCAAGTAGGGATTAAGAACGCTAAAGGTAGGATTCCCAGAAGATGATGGTAATGCGAGTGAATGTGGAATAGAGGGAATAGTAAATAAGCAGAAGGCCATTGCTGTTGGACTGGAAGGTCAAAACACTGAAATGTGCTTAGATAAGGTTGCAGAGTGATCTAAAGCTCCAGATGAGAATCTTCTTGGATGTTTTATTAGCGATGCTGCAAAGAATTATTATAGACCAAAATGCACAAAATAAATCAGTCTTCTGAATAACTGTGACACTATGGAGGAAATTCTACCCTCCACACTGATGTAGCAAGCGAGTTTGTGAAGCGTCCTCGGTGAGGGAGTAGGAAGTACAGAGAAAAGGAAGGGAATATGTTGAGCGAACATAATGCATGCATTTCTGAGTGTGGAATTTGAATGATGTGTACTTTGAGACAATTCAGAAAATAGGGGGAGATCGTCAGAAATGAGATTGTCATTATTGAGAGCAAAATATCTGATTCGATAGCAAAATTTTGAATGGTAAGGTGAGAATCTCTCTAGTGAGTAGAGAGCAACCTATTTGCATCCACTAGAATGCCATTATTACCTAACCTCACCTTGGTGTGCAGTTTCCCATTTTCCCACCCACCTGTTGGAAACTATACAGTGGCAATTCCTGACATGAAAGTCAGAGTGGGTACCTGGCAACTCCAGCTCGCCATTCGCTCCTCTGGGCCTCCTTCTTCGACAACAGTCATCAACATTCCATGGCACCCTTCCCAGGCTGCAACAGCCCACACCCTCCTGTCCACGAACCTTGGCATTGGACACATACAAGCCTCACTGCTGTTGCTTTTGGAGCATTTGTGATTACTGTTACCTAGTATAGGCAATCAACTATTTATAAGTAATTTTCAAAAATTTTATTCAATTTGTTGAAAAGCAGCACTTTAAATACAATGCAGCATTCAATTAGACAAAGAAATGAAATGTATGACCTGTGACAGATGCAAACACTTTAGCAATCCCAAAGGCTTTCTGTAGAATGGAGCAGTTTAAGTAAGGGACTGCAGTCTTTGGCAGTAACAGTCTTTGTTCTTCCCTCGGGCTGTTGTAGGAGAATTCCTGGTCTTCTCCCAAGAAGGTCATGGCTCGGTCCTCTCAATCCTCCCTCCGTCTTTCCATTTGCGCCTGTTGAAGAGGCTGGCATTTTATGTCAATCATTTGTCTAAACTCTCTCAGCCAAGACTCGAGACGTCAGGACAACTGTCCGCCCCTTGCCTGCTTTCACCTGAACGGTAGACAAACAGAAGGCTGGAAGAACACAGCAAGCCAGGCAGAATTTGGAGGAAAGGAGCAGTTAATGTTTCAGATATTACCCTTCTTCAGGATTGAAAGTTAGCCTTCGTCTGAAAGTTAGTTGACCTCCTAAGACTACAACATTCTATTTTCCCAAACAATGTGAGAATAGGGTACAAAGGGTGCCAGATAAATTGCTGATACTCATTAAATGGAGTATTGTGATGTAGTGACTCTTGTGATACTTCTCTGTTTTCATGTATTAGAAATTTGGAAAGTTAGTTGCTGCTGCTGTAAGAGTGATTCAATGATATCTCACGGTACACAGTAAATACTGTGAAAATTCAGTCATAAAGGGATCCCAATTTCTAACACCACACTGTCATGGCACATCTCTAACTCACTTACAATATGTTTTTGCACTTCAATGTTGCACTTAGGAGGACAGTGGCAGCTTGTGCTGGAATTCTGCTGCCAGGACATTTTGCACACAGAGACAAGCACCCAGCTTACAAGTCCACCAGTGGGTATCTCGGAGCTCCTTGCTTGCTCTCTTTGCACACACTCTCTCTGGATCTACTTGGATGCTCATAACATCGCTGCCTTGCTTAACCTTTTTGTGCTTTACACGCCGAGCCGGAGCTTTAAGATTCACAGTACTTCTGTTTTGCCTTGCCATTTAATGCAGACTTCAAGCCAGGTGACTTGTCACAGTTGTCAGCATTTCCTTCAAGCAAATGGCCATAACTCAAAATCTAAGTGGAGTAATCCTCAATCAGGTAAAGGGAGACGTCCTTCAGTCAAGGGATCCCAAAACAATATGTAAGGATAAAAGAAAGAATGAATCGTAGAAAACGGGTAGGTGTTCAGGTGTGTTAGGAATACATTCACAGTGGTGGTAATGGAAGAGCAGCACAGTAATGAGTAATGATTGATACTTAGGTGCTGGAACATGGACGTTTCAGCGTCACCACATGAACAATCACAGTCCTCACCAGCTAGGGCAAATATCCCCTCCTTATAGGAAATGAGGTGAATCTCTGGGACCCCACCACCGGTATTGTCTATTTCTGTCCACTTTGAGCCATTTTCTCATGGAATAAGAGAAAGGGAGGGGTTAGGTGAGATGAGATGAAATGCCACAGTTAGTGTTGGTGCAGTTCAAGAGGTGTCCAAGTGAGTGAGTTGGTGGCGTAGAGGCCATGCAGTGTTAGTGGTTGGGCACATGTCTTGTAAATGGTATAGACTGTTGCTACTGAGCATGGGTGGTGTCCTTTTGAGTTTCTGGTCAATGCTAGCCACCAGAACATTGTGAAAGGGGGAACTCAGTGATGGTCATGCCACGAAAGTGCCTAGGAATAGTGGTAAGATTCTTTCTTGTCAGAGATTGGCAGCACACACGTGCCAAGCAATGACGATTGCCACTTGTCAGCCCAAGCCTGGACATTGACCAGGTCTTGCTGCATTTAGGCATGGACTGCTTCAGCATCTGAGGAGTTGCGAATGGTGCTGAATATTGTGCAATCATTGGTGAACATCCTACTTCTGACCGTATGATGGAGGGAAAGTCATTGATGAAATAGCTGAAGATTGTTGGGCCTAGGACAAATCCTGAGGGATTTCTGCAGAGATGTCCTGGAGCTGAGATGACTAGCCTAAGACCAGGTAAAACCCTTATGTCAGGTATGACACCATCCAGTGGAGAGTTTTTCTCCATGATTCCCATTGACTTCAGTTTTGCTAGAGTTTGATGCCACACTCTGTCAAAGGTATCCTTGATGTCAAGGGCTGTCATTCTTACCTCTGGAATTCAGCTCTTTTGTCCATGTTTGAACCGAGCTTTAAAAAGGTCAGGAGCTGAGTGGCCCTAGTGGAACACAAACTGAGCTTCACTGAGCAGGTTATTGCTGAACAGGTTCTGCTTGATAGCTCTGTTGGTGACACCTTCCCTCACTTTACTGATGATCGAGAGTAGACTGATGGGGCGGTAATTGGCCGGGTGGATTTGTCCTGCTTTGTACGTACAGGACGTACGTGGGAATGTGAAAATAAAGCTCTATGTTGCTATTAACAACCGGGTTCGTGGAGTGTGGGGCATTTAATAATGTTACAGGCCTTAGCATTTCATGATACTCTTTGAATTACTCGTAATTTCTGTCTGATGGAAGTTGGGAGAATCATAGAAT